AAATATGAAAATTCTTTTTTATTTCTGTGTTTATGCTTTTTATGTGACACAATTAATTATAGACGTGCATTTACTTGTAATCTTTATGTTAATGTTAAATGCATGAAAATTTTCAGGTTGCCACCAGTTTATTTTGTGTTCATGTGATGTTAAAATTAGCAGTTAACGACTCTGGAAGTAATTTCTTGCTATAGTTCCGATGAAATAGCTTAAGTCGGAAACGGTTTGGTTATTCGGTACAATTGTCTCTCCAAAGTCATCTAGAGTAACTTCTTGACGGTCTTTGTTGCCTCTTGCATATATTTGTAAACAACGTGTTGGTCCCCATGTTCTTTTCTTAGTTGTCCCTATTTTGACATCAAACAATATAATGTAAGATAAATCACCACTTATAACATGCATATGACTAATAAAAGAAATTAATAATTAACTATTTTCTCAGTCTTAAATAAAATGAAACATTGTCATTTGTCTTCCTGTCTTTCTGGTTGGTTAAATTTAAATCTGCATTGGATAATACAAAAGATAAATTCTCTTTGGACAATAGGAAGTTTATTTCTTAAGGACCTAGTAATAATTAATGTTGTAACATTTAATATTCTATCTTGTGATCTCTATATAAATCATTTTATATTCATATTAAAAGTAAGTTGGACATTTTTATAAAAGAAAGCAATTTTAAGTCCACTCCCATTTTTCTTCTCAAATTGGTATCAGAACGCATGGCAAATATGATGGATCAAATGTCACTGCCACGACTATCAAAGTCGTATTATGAGAACTGGAGTATCCAGATGAAGACGCTTCTGGGATCGTTAGATGTATGGGAAGTAACTAACGATGGGTTTGAAGAACCATCAAATACGACGGCAAACACCACAGCTCAGAACAAGGCGTTGAAAGAAACGCGAGTAAAGGATAAAATAGTATTGTACATGTTGTTCAGAGCAGTCGACGAATCAGTTTTCAAAAAGATTGTTGGTTCGACTACGTCGAAGGAAGCGTAGGACACGCTAGAAAAGGCTTTCAAAAGAGCAGATAGAGTCAAGCAAGTTCGCTTGCAGATTCTTCGAGGAGAAATGGAGAGAATGAAGATGAAGGAGACATAGTTTGTGTCGGACTACATCACTCGTGTGCAGACGGTGGCAAATCAACTCAATCGAAATGGAGAAGCAATGAAGGATGCTCGTATTGTCGAAAAGATTTTGAGATCTTTGACAGATAAGTTTGAAAATATATTATGCGCAATAGAAGAGGCAAAGGATCTTTCGACAATCATTGTCGAAGAAGTCGCTGGTTCACTTGAGGCACATGAACATCGCAAAATAAAGAAGAAGGAGGAGACACTTGAGGATGCAGAAACCAACAGAGACAAAAAGTCACTTTTCTCTCAAAATTGGCGTGGGAGAAGACATGGCCGTGAAGGACGTAATGGTGGTCGAAGTTACCAAAACAATAACTTCGACAGAGGACAGTCAAGCCAACAAAACTGGTGTGGCAGAGGACGTGGCCAAAAAGGTGGTAGGTCTAATTACAACAATATCGAATGTTACAAATGTAACAAACAGGGGCATTATGCGAAAGATTGCAACTCCTACAGTTGCTACAACTGTGATAAAGTGGTACATCTTGCAAAAGATTGTTGACTCATAAGAAAGATAGAAGAAACAACAAATATTTCCCTAGAAACATAATCGAATAAAGGATTTCTGTTAATGACTCAAAATGAAGCAGATGCAGAAAATGACACTATGTGGTACCTGGACTCAGGAGCAAGTAACCATATGTGTGGTCATAAGCACCTGTTCAAATAAATAAAGAAAATTGAGGATGGTCATGTTTCCTTTGGAGATGCGTCGAAAGTAAGGGTCGAAGGAAAATGAACAATCAGTTTCTTGCAGAAGGATGATTTGATAGGATCAATCCAAGATGTGTACTGTGTACCAAACCTCAAAGCAAATATTTTGAGTCTTGGACAACTCACAGAAAAGGGATATTTGATACTCATTGAAGATCAAACTTTGCACTTAAAAGACAAGTCAGGACGTCTGGTTGCTCAAGTCGAAATCGGGAAAATCGAATGTACAAGTTAAATTTAAGAAGCATTCGAGAAAAGTGTTTGCAAGTCAATGTCGAAGACCAAGCATCCATGTGGAATCTACGTTTTAGTCATCTACATCAGGTTGGACTAAGGAGGTTAGCAAAGAAAATATGGTGCATGGACTGCCAGGCGTAGAATTCGAAGGAAAGTTCTGTGAAGAATGTGTATTTGGCAAACAGACGAGAACCTTATTTCAAAGGAAGGCGAATATCAGGGTAAAAAAAATTTGGAATTGATTCACACTGACATATGTGGACCAATTACCCCAGAATCCTTCAGTGGCAAAAGGTACTTTATATCCTTTATTGATGATTTCTCAAGGAAAATTTGGGTGTATTTTCTGAAAGAAAAGTCAAAAGCCTTTGAAGTATTCAAGAAATTTAAGATAATGGTGGAGAAAGCAACAGACAGGCACATCAAATCTCTTCGATCAGACAAAGGTGGGGAGTATACTTCGACAGCCTTTATGAAGTATTGTGAAGAGCAAGGCATAATGAGATTTCTGGCTGCAGCATACTCACCTCAACAAAATGGTGTGGCGGAAAGAAAGAATCGAACAGTCATCGACATGGTTCGATCAATGCTTAAGAGCAAGAACATGTCGAAGGAATTTTAGGCAGAAGTTGTATAATGTGCAATCTACATTCAGAATAGATGCCCACATTCGAAGTTGGGAGATTTAACACCTCAAGAAGCTTGGAGTGGACAAAAGCCAATTGTGTCTCACTTCAAAGTGTTTGGAAGTGTGGCTTTTGCACATGTACCTGATCAAAGAAGAACAGAGCTGGAAGATAAGAGTCAGAAGTACATACTCATTGGGTATGATGAGAAAACGAAAGGTTACAGACTTTTCAACCCAATAAACAAAAAGGTGATAGTGAGTAGAGATATTCGAGTAAACGAAGGAAGCAAGTGGGACTGGAACTACTCGACTGGAGTTATGGTCGAATTACCGGGTGCTATATCAAAAAACACTTTGACAGAACCAGAAGACTCTGATGATGAAGATGGACTCTCATAGCCCAAGTTGCGAAGTTTACAAGACTTGTATGAAAACACAGAAGAAGTGCATCTCGTATGTTTGTTGGCAGACACTGAAGATGTCAGTTTCGACGAAGCAGTAAGAAACAAAAATTGGAAGGATGCTATGAATGAAGAAATTAAGGCCATCAAACGCAATGATACTTGGGAACTAGCAGAGTTACCAAAAGGAAGTCAAACAATTAGTGTGAAGTGGGTGTTCAAGAAAAAGATAAATGCACAAGGTGAAATTGAAAGATACAAGGCGCGACTTGTGGCAAAAGGATACAAGCAGAAAGCAGGAATCGAGTATGATGGAGTGTTTGCACCTGTTGTGAGAATGAATACAATTCGACTGCTCATATCTCAAGCTGCTCAATACAAATGGCAACTATATCAAATGGATGTCAAGTCAGTTTTTTTGAATGGCGTGTTTGAAAAAGAAGTTTATGTCAAATAACCACCTGGATACATGAAAGTCAAAAATAAAGGAAAGGTGTTAAAGCTAAAGAAGGCACTGTATGGGCTGAAGTAGGCACCACAAGCATGGAATACACGAATTGACACATACTTCAAAGAAAATGGATTTCAGCAATGTCCCTACGAACATGCCATGTATGTGAAGAAGGAAAAAAGAGAAAATATTGCTTGTTGCTCTCTATGTCGATGACTTAATTTTCTTGGGCAACAATAATCAGATGATAGAAGAATTCAAAGGCACAATGACACAAGAGTTTGAGATGACTGACTTAGGTCTGATGAAATACTTTCTTGGTCTGGAGGTTTGACAAGAAGAAATATGAATCTTCATCTCACAAGAAAAATATGCAAAAGATATCCTGAAAAGATTTAAAATGGAAAGCTGCAATCCAATTTCGACACCAATGGAACCGGGAGCAAAGCTTTTGAAATTTGATGGGAGATAGCGTGTCGAAGCAAACAAATTTCGAAGCTTGGTGGGAAGTCTTTGATACCTCACATGCACAAGGCTAGATCTTTCGCTGAGTGTTAGAATTGTGAGTTGTTTCATGGAAGAACCAGTTTTTGCACACTGGAAAGCTCTGAAGAGAATCCTTCGATATGTCCAAGGAACTGTGTCACTTGGAATGTTTTATTCAAAAGCAGGAGAATACAAGTTGGCTGGCTACTCTGACAGCGATTAGTGTGGTGACATAGATGATCAAAAAAGCACTTCAGGATATGTGTTCCTCATGGGAAACACTGCATTCACCTGGTTGTCAAGGAAGCAACCCATAGTAACTCTTTCTACATGTGAAGCAGAGTATGTGGCAACATCTTGGTGGGTATGCCATGCAATATGGCTGAGAAGATTGCTGAGCAGGATGGATTCGAAACAGGAAGATGCAACAATAATTCAAGTCAACAACAAATCTGCAATCGAGCTGGCGAAGAATCCAGTTAACCATGAAAGAAGCAAACACATTGATGTTCGATTCCATTTTATTCGAGAACATGTGAAGGATGGAAGCATCAAACTGAAGCACGTTGCAAGCAAGGATCAAGTAGCATACTTTCTTACAAAACCATTGTCGAAGGAGCTATTCGACATAGGCAAGAAAATGTTAGGCATGATGGATCAAAGAAATATTTGAATTTATGGGGGAGTTTTGTTGGTTAAATTCAAATCTGCATTGGATAGTGCAAAAGATAGATTCTCTTTGGACAGTGGGAAATTTATTCCTTAGGGACCTAGTAATAATTAATGATGTAACGTTTAATATTCTATCTTGTTATCTCTATATAAAATCACTTTGTATTCATATTAAAAGTAAGTTGGACATTTTTATAAAAGAAAGCATGTTTAAGTCCACTCCCATTTTTCTCCTCATTCCTCACATTCCATATTTTATTCTTGTTCTTATTCTTCCAAAAGAATGTTCTCCTCATATTCAATTAAGTTTTCCATCTCTTTTTCAACATCTCTTCCATTTTGTTTAAGAAACTCACCGATTAACATTGATTGGCACAAAGGACTTCTTTTTGTCTTATTGCGAGCACTTTGTTGCCTTTCCCTTGATTCCTCTTCAGCCACTACCATTTTCTTATGTTGATCATTTTCCCTTGAAATGTCATTTCCAAATATTTTCTTTTTTTGTGGTTGATTCTTATTGTTACTTTCATGTTTTTCCTTTGAATCATCTTCAACAACCATTCTCCTAGATTGTTCCTTTGACCTTGAAGTGTCATTTTCAACAAACATTCTCCTAGATTGTTCATTTGACCTTGAAGTGTCATTTTCAACATATTTGTTTTCTGCAATTTGTTGTCTTTCCAACGGTCCATTTCCAATTACCATCTCCTTCATGGATTGCCTATTTTGATTCTGAATATGTATAGGCGTAGGTCTTCTACCTTGAGACAAATATTGTAATTTTGAGTTTTGGATTTTAGAAACCAAAGATTGATTCCTTTTAGAAATCAAAGGGTGGCCTTTTGGATCTTGAATCTTTAATCCTTTGTTTGGTTTTAAATATATTTCCCTCTCTATACTTTTTTCAGCATGAATGTTAGGCAGTTTAGTCCAACTTGCATTATCTGAAACATTTTTTCTTTGGCTCGGGCTCTTTGTTGGAAGTTGTTGCAAATATAGATAACTTGAATTGTGGAGTAGTTGATGGCTGATTTTTTTTAGTTTCTAAGAGCTTCAACTTCTGTTATAGGTGCACATATTTTACCTTGGTTGGCCTTTCTTTCCTCCAGTTTGATGTTGAATTCCCTAGCCAATTCAAAGCTAGATTTGAACTATGGTAGTTCAAAACTTGAAGCACCCCTCTGACCCTTCACATGACACTTCATATTTTTCTCTTCCTTGTTCATTTGTACTGCAAAATATTTAAGCACCAAAAAATTTAGAGATAGAAAGAAATAAAGAATAATGTTGATAAAACCATAAAAGTTATAAGGAGGAAATGTAAAAATTAAGAAACAACTAAAGAAATAACAATGTTAGATAAAAAAATAGAAACTTACTAACCTGACTATAAAGTGAATGCATAACATCATCAAATTGGGTTATGCTAAAAAGTAGCATAAATTTAAAAGGTAAAATAAAAATAAATTGATATATGCATTAAAAATTAAATAATTCTATTATTATTGAATTTGGTTATAATAATAGAAATTAGATGTGACAGTAAGGAAAAATATATTTTGTCAATAAGAAGAGGAATAAGGGTTGGAAGAAAGAAAGAGATCGTAGAAGTTGCCGAACAAAAGAAGAAAATTCAATTCTCTACAACTTTGTCTTAAACTCAAGTCCAAAAAATGCTTCATTTGAGAGATATGCGTCAATACATTACAAGTCATTTTGAAAGTCAACAAAAGTCATCTTTTGTCAAAGAAATTTACATCAAGATAAAGACTTCAAATGAAAAAGTGACCAACATGAGAGTTGTAGGGGACATCTTGAGCTTTCCAAAAAGTCTTAGATCACCTTCATATGACAAAAATTGAGTGATATGGTTGGTGCAAGTTGAGAAATGTATGAAACCTTAATTGAGTAATTTTGAAATTTTGGACTAGTGGACCTATCTTCTAAGGTATAAACATGTTCATGACCTTATAGAGGACTTCTAAACTCATTCATACCTTACCATGATTTTATTTATTTATTTTTATTTTTATTCAATTAAATACAAAATAAATTAAATAAAATAACAAATGATGGACCAAGGCATGTGGGCTTGGTTTTGGATCAAATTTAAGGCCCAAGAATACATATCCAACTTGCCAAAATCGTGGAAGGCAAGATTGGGATATAATCTTCTCAAAATGGAATGTTTCAAAACATGTTTTTTTTTTTGTGTTTTGGCAAGTGTTGTACCCCAAAATTTGCCCTCTCATGTGTCCAAGATCTTTTCTTACATGGTTGGTTACAAACACTTGATTAAAGAAAAATAAAAATTTTAAAGATGAACAAGGTGTCTTTCGATTGGCATCTTGACAAGCTTCGATTGGGCATCTAGATCCTTCGAACAAACTTGGTTTTAAAGTCTTCGATTAGGCATTTGGCACTATTCGCTGCAGGTCTAATTCACAAGCTTCGAATGGGCGTTGGGTCCCCCTTCGATCACGTAAAAATCACAAGGCTTCGACTGCGTATTGGTTACTTCAGGCTTGCATTTGATTCACAAGGCTAACGGCCTCTACAAGTTCCTTTTTATTCACAAGGCTAAAGGCCTCTTCAAGTTCCCTTTGATTCACCAGGCCAAAAGCCCCTTCATGCTTACTTTGGATTCACAAGGGCAAAGGTTTCTTCTATGATTTCCTTCAACGCATAAGGCAAAGACTTTCTCTATGCTTTCTCTCAAGGCCAAGACCCATCAACACAGCTTCTGCACTATGACGCACAATATGACCCCTTTGAAAGAGCACTCCAAAAGCCCATTCGAAGGACACATATTGCTGGCCATTCGAAATAGACACATAATCACTAAATGTAAGTTTATCTTATCATGAGTCTTGGTCCTACATGTGGCCAGGCCCAGGCTTCTTGTACAATGGCATTCGAAGGTGGTGACAAAAGAGGTTTTCAATTGGCCAGATTGAAATTTTTATTTGAGTTGCTTGAATCAAGCAGCTAGGGAAAGTAGACTCAATCGAAGAAGCCCTGATGAAGGAAACTCTAATCAGATTCGAATCTAGAGTCATCAAAAAGGACAAATGCTCCGATGAAGAGAATTATGGGCAATTCGAATTGATGCAGATATTGACTTAATTAAAGAAACTCTGATAAGGAAAAACATCTTAGTAATTCGAATTGATATGGACGAACTCCATTGAAGGAGCTGAATCAGAGCCATTCGAAGGAGCTGAATCAGAGCCATTTGAAGGAGGCAATCAGAGCCATTCAAAGGAGCTGAATTAGAGCCATTCAAAGGAGGAAATCATAGCCATTAGAAGGAGGAAATCAGAGTCATTCGAAGGAGGGAATTCGAAAATCAAATGTGTCCAGGTTCATAGAAAATTCAAAAAGGGACAAGAATCCATGTCTTTGGCAAAGTATTCAAAGTGACAATCATGGCCTTTAAAACAACAACTTAATGGTTGTCTATTCCTTTGTCCTCTGGTCCCCTCCATCCCCTCTTTATAAGGAGCACACTAGCAAGCTTAGAGGGGAGGACGAAAAAATAAGAGAGGAGACCACATACATACACACACACAAAAGTCCTAGATTTCTAGCAAGACATACTTGTCTTCATCACCCTGCATTTTTGCCTGACGCATAACATACACGTCATAGAATCATACCATAGCATTTCCTTAACCACTTCAAGGATCTCAAGGGTGTGTGGTGCCGGTTATGATGAACCAGACGTCTAACAACGGGCAAGGGGATTTATTTTCCTCTAGCCAATGCCGTCAAAATATTAAAACACGATAACTTGAGTCAGAGGCTATGACCCACTCGACATGGTGAGCTTGACTCTCGTAGAAGGACCTTCAACAATATGAAGTTCTTCAATCAAAGCTGCAAAATTTAACTTCTGACATTTTCTTGTTTAACCTGTGAGATCCTTGAAAACATTTACATATCATACATGTCATTGCATAACAGGTATTCTCTGGACAGGCTTCTTATCCCTTCACTATTTATTTCAACAAAAGGAAAATGGCTCTCAAACAGAATAACAGAGATCTCCAAACTCAAGATGCCCAGTTTAAGGAAATGTTCCTAAACTTATCCAAGGGGCAAGAAGAGTTGAAAGCACTCTTTGTTGGGAACTTGGCCAAGAAAAGTCCTGAAGACAACATGGATGACCAGTTGGAACAACTGCAAGTTAAATGGAACAGATGAGAATCCAGATGAGTAATCAAGGGGCTCTTATCTGAAGTTTAGCTCGGGAACAAGAAGAGTTGAGGTTTCTTATCAGCAAATTTCATAAAGACGGATGCAACTGTATGACGCAAATAGTCGAGACTGGGGATCAAGTCATTAATCATCCCCTAATGAGACAAGAAGTTTGCTTGGTGGAGAGTAGACCTTTCCAAATTGCTGTTACGTCACAACCTCGCCAACAACGACAAGGTAATCAGCGTAAGCGGAACACATCTAAAAGACGCTTTACCGAAATCAACATGTCATTGGCTCAAGCATTGTAACACGTGTTGGAGGCCAAGCTGATTACGTTGAAGGATCCTCCTCAGAATCCCAACACTGCTTCCCCAATGTACAATCCAAATGCAAGGTGTGTGTACCACTCTAACAGTCTTGGACATGACACTAATAGCTGTTGGACATTGAGAAATAAGATTCAAGACCTGATCGACGAAGGAGTGCTGGAGTTTAAACAAGATGGTCAAGCTGAACTCTTCTGCCATCCCTCCAAGGCACACCATCTAAAGTGAAAAGTTTAGACGAAGAGGCTTCTTGTTCACTTAGTTTCTCAATCTGTAATTTTATTTTGATTGTTCAAACACTCATTTATGTCAAACTTTGTTATTTCATCAATGCATTGCATATGTTTGTCTTGAATCATTTCATCTGTATTCACTATATTCAAATTATATTTTACTTCCTTTTGGTGATATTTAACTCTCGATTAAAAACTCTAAACCTTTAGAGGGAGGATGACGAAAATGATACCACAGTCTCTACGGTATGCTTTTGAACAGACCCCACTGACGATGTACAGGCGTTGTTTCAATTCCTAAATAGTGGAGTTATAAGGAAGATAATCCCTAGTCAACCCCTTTGAGCCTAAGAAGTAGGAGTTTTTCTTTTCACACAAATTAAAACCCTTAATCATAACCTGAGGTAGGGTAGTCTCTCAGTTAATTCAAAGGTGCATTTAATCACAAGCTTTCCCCTTCATACACGACAAGTGGTGTCAGGGGAATCATTCCAAAACAGAAAGTGGCGATGGTTCCATATAATCATTAAAACGGGCAGTCATTATTTCTCAAAATAAAAGCCCGTTAAGTCAAAACCTATGAAGGATACTTAAGAAAAACTGGGGCATCCCGCTGACTGCAATAACAAAAGAAACAGTTCAGGCAAAAGTAGGGATAACAAAAAAAAGGGTCCTACAAATCCTCAACGAAAAAAGAAAAGGTTACAAAAATGACTGCCTTCTCAAACTAACGTTCAATTCCTGAACCATCACCAAGTATCAGAGCAAAGATTCCAGACTCAATTGGGACCTAAACACACAATTAGCTAAGCATAGGATTGAAGAACATCACAAAGAACGGGTTGGGTACAAATAAAATTTGAGCCTTTATCCTTTGTTTCTTAAACCGTGACCAGGTCATGTTATAACCCTTAAAAGTCCTAGATGAAGCATGGGTTAGTTCGAAAGCATACTGTTACAAAAGGTATCTTGACTCCTGTAGGGTTCGCTATAAATCCTGAGTTGATATCACATTTTTACAAAATTTGTCTGTTTTACTAAAAAAAAAAATGAATTTTCAAACTTCAAGACGGACATAAGATTTGCATTCTTTAAATACCATTGTTTGCATATGACTATTTGTTCAACAACAGAAAAATTCGCACGACGGATATTCGATGAACATAAATTATCTCAGTGGACAGAATCACCTCAAATGGAAGGACATTCTAGTAATAGGCCTTTCATAATCAAGGGGCATAGCATGGTGCCCAAGCTGATCTGGGGTAGTCAAGTCAAGATTTGGAGAACCTCTCAAAAATTCCAAATAGATAGGGGTAGATCTCCATCTGAATCACTTAGGGCATTGAACATGGATTCCAGCAACGAATCATGTACGATCAAACAAACATCTTCTGGCAATGTGACAACACTTACTACTATGGACAGTGACAATTCTCCATA